TAAAGGCTTCTCCTGCACTCTCTTTTACAATGTTCATTTGCTTTGCCAAACCTCTCCTCATTGCTGTAATGGCAGTGCCGAGGGCTGTTCTCACGTTAGGCCACAGCTGCTTGTCGCCTGTGCGGGCCTGTGAGTGAACACACTATCCTGGGTTCGTCTTGGACACAGGGACAACACTTTTCAGAAGGGCTGGGAGGAGGGGGAGTACACCGGAGAAAGATCGAAGGGACCCAGGTTGTCCCTGGGAACTGCAAGCCAAATATATAGAGGAACACAGAAAAACAGGAAGAGGAGGAGAATGGGAAAGGAATGGTGGGAAGTGAAACCCAAGAGTTGCCGGTGGCAAAAAGAGGTAGAGGGAAGAGCATCCACACTATAGCTTGCCTGTCTCGGCCACAATCAGGTCCAAGAGCATCTGTCCCTGTCCCTTCTCTAGATGGCCCTCACTGTTTGTAAGGAAGGCCCTGGGCCTGGCTCTAGGGCATTGCGGGGAACCACGGTGCTCCGCACGCCGGTTCTTATTGTGTTTTCTTTTCCACAGTTGGAGAGATGGGGGGCCCTGCTGGTGGAATTCGAGGTTCCCCTCATCACAGACCCAAAGCTGCCAGCCCAGTGGCAGAACGTGGTCTTAGAAGATGATGTCATTCAGTTCTTGCCATCTGTGGAATGCTCGCTGCGACCTGGGGACAAGGTGCTTGCCCTCTGCGAGCCAGATGAACAGTGGTATGGCCCTGGCACCGTTCTCTTGGCCTCAGAGGCAAGAGACCCCCAGAGAGGTAAGGGGAGTTGATGTGGCCTAGCAGTCCCCAGGGGGGAGCCAGGCTGGTAGGAGAGAGCAGTCTTAAAGGTGAGCTGGGCCTCTTAAAGGTGTCAAAAAAAAAAAAAATCCTTACCCCTTCACCTGTACCTTAATCCTGGGTATGGCAACAGACAGGCAAATCCTATCTTTCAGATTATTAAACACCTTTCATCAGGGCAAAATAGCCTAAAACTATGATGTCTTCTGTGGGTTAGCTAACCTCTGGTGTGACAAGGTTAAACTGGAGCCGCAATGGTACTCATGACTAGCCCCCCCATCAAGTTATCCATGGACTGGGGCAGGCCCCTTCTGCAAGGCCAGTCAGCAGAATGACAGGAGGAGGCATGTCCTCTTTCCCCATGAAAATCGAGACCGGGAGGTGCGTGCCAGTGCACGGGAAGTGGCACTAACTAGGGAGCAGGTGAGGGAATGTTCCTGGCAGGCTGTCCACAGAAAGCTGCACTGGAGGAGGCTGGCAGAGCAGGAGGCCTCACTGAGGTTTGCTCTGGGGGCTAGGAGCACCCTTTCCCCATGATATAGAAGTGGTAATTTTAACAAAATGTTGCTCTGTTATATAGCATCAAAAGGAGAAATTACTGTTCACTTCTGGAATGGCAAGACAGCTACTGTGCCTCGAGGTGGGGTCAGGTGGGTGCCCCCAGCTGTCTGGAAGAAGGCTGTGGAGAGGCTACACAAGCCTTTCACCAAGGAGCCCCCCAGCACCCTTCTCTGGGCCCCTTGCTGCTCTCTGCTGGGACCAGCCACGGGGTGTGTCACCAACGGGCTTTTTCTGGGCACTCCATCCCTGTGTCTTCCCTGCGTCCCCCAGGCCTGCTGCCAACTGCTATGCCAGGGCTGCCTCTGCTCTTGCCCCTTGGCTGGACCTACCTGGTGGCCTCTAGCCAGGGCCTCGGGGGTCACAGCCAAAGAACATCCAGAGGTGGAACTGAAGCCCATGGCACAGCATTTGCCCCTAGACAGTCCCAGAGAAGAGAAAGGAGCAGTGCAAGCTCCCCTGGGTGTTTCTTCTTCTTCCTCTTCCTCTGAAGAGGATTTGGAGAATGATCTGCAGATGGGCCTCCCCCAGAGGCTGACAGTGGACAGCACAGTCAACACAGACCCCATCCTTCTTGAGAAGTCTCCGAGGAGAAAAGGTGGCCTCTGCCAGCCCGAGTGGAGGTACTGGAGGAGAAACAGGTCTGAGTCGCATCCTGGGAAGCCAGGTATACCTTCTTGTAAGGCAGGGCTGCGGGCCCTGCTCCCTTCCCTCCCATGTCTCTTAGGAAAATCATGCACATGTCACTGTACTGGGATTGGAAGTAACAATTAGGAGCGTGGCCATGTTGAAGGGGAAGCTGTGATAAAAAGGAAATAGTAGGTTTCCATCTAAGCAATAGAACCCAATAGGAGAGGATGGGCTGATCTTTGTGAGAAGGTTTGCATCCCTGTTTAACAACTCTTCCTTCTTCACTAGTCTCTGTTGACAGGGCGCTGCCATTGTCTGTTTTTGCCTGCTGAGCGCAAATCCCCAACCCGCCCGCCCGCCTTTTTTTCTTGGAGCCCTTGACTTTCCTCTAGATGAATAGTCAAAATGTCTCCTGGTGTTTAGTTTTCAATGCCCTGAGAGGCACAGAAACTAAGTTCATTGGTCGGTAGGCCCTACTCTCCAATGGTCCCGAGTAAATCTAAGTGGGAAGAGGTAGGGCCCTGCATCATGCTGCTCATTCCTTAAAGAAGGGAAGGTGGTGTTACTGTCAATCCACAGCCATCCCCATCTTCACCTTGAGCTAAGAACCACAAGATGCCCTCATAGGTTTAGAAGCCGTTATCATCGACATGCCTCATGCCTGTCCTATCTAAATTCCCAGCGAGGCCCAGAAAGAGCAGAAGCCCAAGTTGGCAGGCAGAGGGGGTTGGGATAAGCCCAGCCCTAGACTAGTTTCCTGGGGCCCTGGGGTCACTAACTGAACATTGAACTAAACATTCAGTCTAGGGCAGGGAGGCTGCGTGGTTAAAGAGTACCATGGCTAAGGGCTTAAAGATCCCCAGACACCACCCACATTGGGACTCACTGTGGGTCCCTGTTTGAAGCCACTGACTGCCCTGTTTCCAGGACGGCTGTTCAGCGGACAGGGCAGACCTCTTAGCCCATGAGGATTTCACTCTTGGCCCAGGGCTAAGAACTTTGTTGGTCTTCATGTCCAGAAAGTCGAGAAACTGTTTCTACACTGAGACACTTTCTTGGTGACTCCTGACCCCTGGGCCTTGTAGGGGGTTGGGGGGAGAGACAGGTGGGAATGGATATAAGTTGGCAGCTGTTGTACTCTATGGGACAGTTCTAGACCTTCCTTGGCCTGCCCCAGGGAGAGAACCAGAGGAACAAGAAGCCAGTTGTGTGCAGCTGAGCTCCTCCTCCCGTCTCTGTGAGAGGAGACCTTGTATTGAAAATATAAAGCTGGGCAGCCTCTTCGGCTTCTGAGATGGGTCACAGATCTCACAGTGAGAGGCTGTGAGATGTGCTGGCAGAAGCTACATGGAAATAACTGCTCCTCTCAGGAACATTTTCTAAAGAAAATGGTGCCCAAGCCTAGAGCTTTCATGCTAAATTTGCCATAGCTTCCGCTGCCTCCTGCCTTAGCAGACTGGAGAAAGCTGTACCTACCCCATAGACAGGAGTCTGTAGGGAGCAACAGAGAAGCCCAGCCTTAGGAGGGAACGCCAGTAGGGTAACCAGAGGGGCCATGGTAGTCACAAAGGCTTCAGGCACCAGCAGTGCGCTCTCTGCCCCCCACTACCTCTTCTTAGTAATCAGTGTGATTTAGAAGTTCCTTCAACAGGTGATAGTTGGTTGGCTACCTTTGCTTCTCCTACTGGCTGTTTTGAAAATCGTGTGATACCTTCTCCCACCTAATTCCAAACATGGTTATCAGATACAACCTATCCAAAACGCATAATGGCCAAAACTGACTCACAAACTTTATTTCTCTTTAAAAATAGAGAGCAGTGGTAGGAACTTACAGATAGTTAGATTCTGGGATCCTTGACATATTTCTACTTCAATCATCAGGCCTAATCCCGTGGTGGCACATGCAACATAACTCACTGAATCTGGGGTTTAGGAACAAGACATGGATCCATCTGGAGAGAAAAGAGGGACAACAAACCACCAAGGGTACAGAGTGTAGTGCTGGGGAATACGAAGGAGCTGGTCCTGGAAGCAAGCGGCGTGAAGCCACCACAGATCCTGCCAGAGGACGGTGAACACAGAAAATGGAGTCAGGGAACAGTGACACAGCAAAAGGACCAGGATGCCCTCAGATTGAAAGCCCAGAGCAGCCAGGTAAAGCAGGATGGCTGGGAAGGGGCTGCTAAGGGCTCCTCACATGGTGGTTCCTAACCCCTTTTGAGAATGAGTACTCCCTATTGTCTTCTCCCAGGAAAATGCACATACCCACAATTTTGCATTCCATTTCAGAAGGCTTACAGAACCCACAGAGCTGATCACAGACTCCTGAAGGAGGCAAGGATCCCATTTAAGTGACACTTGACCCTATGGTGATGGGCATGGGTCTGCCTGACTAGGCCCTCCATCCGTGGGAATCTGTTCCTCACTAGGAACACTAACACAGCCCTACTTAAAACTTGGTTTTTCATCATGTAAAACACTGGCATTTATCCTGAGGGAAGACTTGTCATGTTCAGAATGAGATGAACTACCAGGCAACCAAACTGGCCGATGCAGCCCTGCTGCTGGCCTGGTAGCTTTGAGTTCAGGGCACATCACGGACTTTTTAAAATCAGCGACTTTTGAGCTTTAAAATTACAGTCAGCATCAGACTCTCAGGATTTTTTTCTTTTCTTCCAGGAAGGTAAAAGAGCAGTGGTGATTAACTACCTGAGGAGGTGCTGCTAAGTGGCCACCAAGGGCAGAGCGCAGGCCACACGTGACTGGTGCAGGAGCAGTGGTGTCCTCATGCACTAGATGTCACCGCAGATGGGCAGCGCAAAGGCACCTGCGGGGTGGGGGGGGTGACGGGGGCGGCTTGGGGGACCTGCTCCAGAGCGCCTCTTCCACAGACGCACCAGGGCGTGGCTTTGGGCAAATGTGTCCACAGCCTCTCTGCCGCCTTCTTGTAAACCTATAGCTCATAGATGAGCGACCCTGTTTCACCTCTTCATGCCAATAAAAAGGAACTCTTCATTTCCAAATCGTTCCCTTTATTATCATAATTAACCATCTGGAAAGTAAGCAGTTAAAAACTATTCAGATAGCATCATTACATTATGACTTTCAGCAGAAAGTGGGGGAGTGGGGGTACTTCTAGACATTCAAGTTAAAATAGGCACTGAAAGAGACAAACTCCAGGTCCCAGGAAGGCTGACCCTCTACAGTTCAGCCTTGAAAGCAGGATCACTGTGTAAATATGAAAAGAATCATACAGTGACTTTATTCTTCTTGCTGCTTAAAAAAAAGGTGATGTGATAGCCATGATGGTCCACATCATACGGGGAAGACCAAGTCCACACTCTGTCCCGAGTCAACTGCTACCACCTGAGTCTTGGTTAAGTCATTTGTACCCACAGTGACAGAATAGGTCCCTGGATATACTTCTATGTAGAGGTCCTTAGAGGTGTTCTCAGCCTGCAAGGAAAAACAGGTATTAGCTGTTGAGAGACTGTAGGTCACAACGCTACCAGGCCACCTTTGTGTGCCAGCGGTGCAGTGGGATGAAGCCCTGGGCTGGGAGACAGAGGTCTTGCTTTCAAGGCTCAGTCTGGCCACACAATAAGAATGCCAGGTAAGTCTCAGCCACTCCTTGTGCTTGTTTCCTTATTTCTAAAGCTGTGGTAATACCTACATCACAAATAAGTACGTACATGAAAACACTTGGCAAGTTTCAGAATGCTATATGAACATGAAAGGTCATAAAGGGGACACGCCTAACCATGGTAGAAAGAGAATTAGGTAGAAGGAAAGGCGAATGGTCATTGCTTTGGCAAGCGAAAGTGGCATTTGTTAGTACAGATCAGCAGTAACAACAAGGCACCATGGAATAATGAGAATTTTTCTTTTTAACTGTGTTTGGTTTGCTAAATTCATGATGAGGAAGATGAAATATTCTTTTCTGCAAAAGCTGAGCACACACGTGTGGATTTCAAGTCTTCATGCAGCAAGTCAGCTGCCTGGCCAAAGCCCTCCCCTGGAAGACTGGTTCTCCCATAGCTATAGTACAAAACACTGAAAGCTAGAGTTAATGGAAAGATAGGTGTTGAAAGCAGTGCTGAGCACAGACTGTCTTCCAAAGACAGACTTGACACATGGCTGGGAAGTGGGCAGAACTGTAGGCAGAGGAGGTGTCTCAGTTCAAACAGCAGACAGCAAAGTTGCAAACCAGAAAAGAGCCTGTAATTAAGAGCCAAAGTTGCTATCCCACAGCTGGGAAACCCCCACCCCTCCTGCCCTACCCACCACGGACTTCCTCCATGCTCAGAAGGAGCCACAGGCAGCAGCTGTCCTCTCTGCCACCACACCCAGAGGGAGAACAACAAATTACTGGCCAGCAAACTCCACCAGGAGGAATAAATGGTGATATTTACACTTTTATGACACTTTCTCCCCACCCACCTTGCATAGATTTATAGCCAACTTTTTGCAAAGCCATTTTACATTCTATCCTTTCATATCCAGTTACTGCAAAGTTGGTGGTCTTATCATTCAACTGACATGAGTGTAAATGACTATGCCACAACTATTTGTTGGTCTTCAACTATGTAAATACACAAAAGTTGATTTCAGAAAGTACAGCCATATCAGAATTGCGGAAAGCCAGGAATATTTCATTTGTCTGCATAAAAGGAAACATGGGGGATGAGACTGACATCTTGATTCCAAAACCCCGAGTATCAGGAAGATTAGCATTACCAAAATCCAGCAAGTATGGGAGGCATCTTAATCTAACTTATATTTGTACAAGAAGCAGAACATTCTTTGTTGTTACTAACTCCAGTATATTCTGAGTCCTGGCTAGTAGCGCACTGTATACAAACAAAGATTAAGCAAACTATTCCAGCAACATGCTGGAGTTCCTTTCCTCCAAATTCCAGCCCTTCCAAGTTCCAAAAAATTCCCTGGGTTCATGAACTCATGAGTACTTCCTTATACTAAAAATGAAAAACTCATCACTGTGTTTTTAACAGAGAAACATTTGTGGAAAATAAGGACAAATCCCTTCAAATGTTCTGGAACTCGATCTAACCAAATTTCTATGTTTCAGAATTTCAGCAATGGTTTTCACTTTGTAAGCAGGAGGGTCAGGCCCCTCCTGCTGCTTGAACAGATGGTGGAATTCCAGCAGGACCCAGTGCCAGCCCAGCTGAGCTGGAGGAACGGCAACGTGAATACTTCACATTCTTTCCAACCACAACTATGAGTTCAGGCACAAAAAGTATCCCTTAAGCTTCAAGTGAAGGAAGGATAATGAGAAAACATAATTTTCCACTGAATCCAAATGCTATACTCTCTCAAGAATGAAACATCCCAACTTAGAAATACTATGGATCTGGGACAAAGGACCCTGTAACTGGCTCAACTGGTTCATGCAATGGCACTGGCCGTGAAGCCCAGAACAACGAGGAGAGATCTCTACTCACAGGCTGGGACGCCGCCAGAGCACACCCTGACACGTGAGAGATGCCTCCAAGACCGAGGGAGGTGTCTTTTCTCTGAAGAGAAAAGCAGAAACATTGATTAGTGCCCAGACTTTGACTTCTGGATTGTAAAGAGAAACTTTCTTAGTTTATTAGGAACTAATAATTGGTCTACGGCCATACCACCCTGAACGCGCCCGATCTCGTCTGATCTCCGAAGCTAAGCAGGGTCGGGCCTGGTTAGTACTTGGATGGGAGGAACTAATAATTGTTCTGTCGGATTCTTCTAAGTTGTTTCTTAACCGTTAAAAGACTTTGAGTGAATTCTGTGAGGTATTTGTAGTCAGATGTTTACTGTGATTACTTTTTGTATTTCCATGGGATTTGGAGTCAGACCTGAATTTGAATCCTATCTCCTGCTTTACTGAAAAGGGCAGATGAAGTTCTCTCTAAGCCTTAGTTTCCTAGTCTACAACATGGGGTTACTAGATTGGAGATTTAAAGTGCAAGAGTGACTGACACTTAACAGGTTCTCAGAAAATAGAATTATCTTCTGTGCTTCTCCCAGGAGTCCAGGTACTAGCAGGGAAAGGCAGAATTTCCTCTAGAGGCACCAACTTACATTTTATAGGAAGGAATGGGAGGGACAGAAATGACTCTTGCCCACATGTAACCCCCTTAGGGTCAGGCCAGAAAAGAAACCCAGGCTTTGGGCTTTGGCATTGTTCCACACGTCCCAGGCCAGGGAAAGAGGAGGGAACTTCCAGTGTGCATCCAGCCCTCACTCACATCCCTGGGGTCACTATCCCATCCTTTCCCTAAATCCATAGGCCAGGGAAGTCAAGAATCCAACTTGTGGATTAGACTCTGAACGTAAGTTTGCTTTCTTTGAGTATAACTAGGGGATGTTTAAAAAGAAAAAAATAAGACAATGTAACATGCCTACTCTCTTCAAAAACAACAATGAATTCCTAGTGCATCATTTCAACAAGTAGAATCTTGGGCTTCCCCAGAACATGTGGTAAAAGGTAAGTTTGTAGTGAGAGGCCTGTAATTATTCATTACTAATACTAATAGCTTATTTCCTAATGCTCTAGGAAAATAATTCTTTAAAAGAGAGGGAGGGGGAGCTGAGGACACAGCACAGAGAGCTGAGGATACGTACGTGACTGTTCCCCCTGTCCCAGCAGCAGTGCAGCTTGGACTTCCCTCTGTGATAACGAGAGACGTGGGCCGCCCCTCCTTCCTCCAGCACAGATGAATAGTAGCTCTACAGAAGTAACGTGAAAGATGTTGGGTTAGCAAATAGTCTGGTCAAATTAAAAACAAAACAAAACAAAACAACAACAACAACTTCCATGGGCAGGGATGTGGGGAAAGGGGAACTCTCCTACACTGTCAGTGGGAACGCAAGCTGGTGTAGCCACTCTGGAAAACAGTATGGAGGTTCCTCAAAAAGTTGAAAATAGAGCTAACCTATGACCCAGCAATTGTACTACTGGGTATTTACCCCAGAGATACAAATGTAGTGATCCAAAGGGGCCCCCTTGAGGACCCCAGCAATGTCCACAATAGCCAAACTATGGAAAGAGCCTAAATGTCCTTTGTCTGATGAATGGATAAAGATGATGTGGTATATATATACAATGGAATACTATGCAGCTATCAAAAAATGAAATCTTGCCATTTGCAAAGATGTGAATGGAACTAGAGGGTATTATGCTAAGTGAAATAAGTCAATCAGAGAAAGACAATTATCATATGATTTCACTGATATGAAGAATTTGAGAAACAAGACAGGATCATAGGGGGAAGGAGAGAAAAAATGAAACAAGATGAAACCAGAGAGAGCGACAAACCATAAGAGACTCTTAATTTCAGGAAACAAACTGAGGGTTGCTGGAGGGAAGGAGAGTGGAAGGAATGGAGTGGCTGGGTGATGGACATTAGGGAGGATATATGCTACAGTGATTGCTGTGAATTATGTAAGACTGATGAATCACAGACCTGTACCCCTGAAACAAATAATACATTATATGTTAATTAAAAAACAAAACAAAGCTCCATGACTTGGGGTAAGTATGATTAAGGAGGGAGGCAACATAGCAAAGGTAAATTACCTGTTCCCTTAACAGGCCTCTGAAGTCATCGAACAAATCTGAGCCCCTGTGAAGTGGCTGCAGAGACTGCATTTGGCATGACTTTGCTGCCATCTGCTGCCTTTGTAGGGCAAGAACTCTGGCCAGCTATGGTTGGGCAGAACCAGGCTCTCTGCCAGGTTAAATAATTTTCACAACGTTTTTGCTCCAATGTCAAAGACATATGCCTTTTCAACTCCTCTCATCACAAGTTCTGATGAACTGTTCCATGGTTATTGTCTGAGTCTCAGACAATGACAAGGGAAGAGGGGGGGCATCTCCTTGAGATTTACAAATACAACAGGAAATGTAACAAAAACTCAATAGCTACGCAACCGTTCTCTCCATGTGGAGGGGAGAAAGAGGTCTCTAATTTAAGGAGAATACTCCAAAGGATCAGAAAGCAGTTACATTTTTTCTTGTCTACTTCCTTCCTCCCCTTCGAAGTTAACCTTAGACTTGCCCCTGATTATGACTAATGATGAGGACATCACAAGTCTGCTTGTTTTGAACATAGTGTACGAACAGTGTTTAAGGCATGAGACCAAAAGAATGGGAAGCTGGGGGAAGTACTTCAGGATATAGGTCTAATAATGTACTTTGGGGGCTGCTTCAAAATTGTAAAGGCAAACTCAGAACACTGTTCCTAATTCTATCTCTAGAAAGCCCAAAGGTTCTGAGACTCCCTTCCAGAGTGGAACCTGAAGTATGGACTGAAATTCAAAATGAACAACACACCAATTTGCTGAACCTCAGACCAAAGACTTTTGTTATTCCTTTTAGTGAACCATGAACCAAAATGTTTCAGTTGCTCTCTTCACAAAAGAGCTGAAGTTACGGATTTTTCTAAAAGCATTTAGCAGAATAACATAAAAATATTCTCTGGATCATCTCACTTATTGGAATCCTGTTCTTGAAGTCATAGGTACTTTACAAAAGATGTAAAGAGATTAGAGATTTTTTGAAATCTTAATATATGAAATTGAAGAGGACAGGGGGCGCCTGGGTGTCTCAGTCAGTGAAGCGCCTGCCTTCGGCTCAGGTCATGATTCCAGGGTCCTGGGATCGAGCCCCACATCTGGCTCCCTGCTCAGTGGAGAGTCTACTTCTCCCTCTGCCTCTGCCTGATGCTCTGCCTACTTGTGCTCTCTCTCAATCTCTCTAATGAATAAATAAAATCTTAAAAAAAAAAATGAAAATCAGGACAGAAACAAGGTATTCTCTTCCTTCTTCCTTATAGACCAGCATCCTTATAACCACAAGAGAATCACATCATGTTAAGGCTGAAAGAGACCAGAACCTGCTGTAACTCCCAAACAACAGAGTACCTTCAGTGCAGGGGACCTCCCTGGATGCAGGCTGGCCTGACTTCCCCCTTCCCTCAAAGTGCTTAAAGATGAGCTTAACATGTGGGCTTTTGTACACCCATTTCAATGAATGGTACCAAAAATTTCACTCAAGTCCCTCATGCTATAGTTTATGACAATTTTCTGGTGTTCATCTCTCAGTGAAACCAAAGAAACAGATCTAAAGGCTGGAAAGCACTTCAGAGATCCTCATTTTATGACAGGGAAGATAGGCTGAGTGGGACTAACTGGCCCAGGGCATTATAGCCATTAAGTGGCAGAACAAGGGTCTGATTCCTGGGAGGCTGCTCCTGCCATTAAACCACAGCACTTCTGATGAGGGCACTGCATCTGTTCCACAGGACCACTTTTGTGGCCAGCAAGTGATACAAACTCATAGAGACAAACTTAAAAACTACATTACCGGGGACTTGAAACAGAAGTTAAATTCTCGTGAAGGGATTTTGTTTCAATAAATTTTGAAAACCAGAAAGGCTCAATTCTAGTTTAGAAAAATCTTACTGATGTTTTTTAACTTTAGTTCACTTCAAAGTTTAAAAAATCCCTAATATCTGGACTTGATTGTTGAAATTCCGCAAACTCCTCCACCCCTCAACTAGTCTGAAAACAATAGGGAGGACAGAGACCTTTTGTGGTTTGTTCACTGCTATATCCTCAATAATACCTACAGAGTTAGATGTTCAGTAAGTACCTGTTGAATAAATTTTAACTTGGATTTATCACCTGGTTTAAATCCCTCTTTACAGTCTAACCATGAAAATGGGATAGGATAAACGGGCAGTCTCCAGATTCTCCTTACATTCCCCAAACATCCCCTTTGTGGTCCATCTGCAGGTGGACGGGGGTATGCTTTGGCTTACACCAACTTACCCCGCACTGACTTGAAGTATAGTCCATGAATTCTGCCATTGTTCTGAAGGAAGCACTAAGGGTTGGCTGTCTTTCTTCTCCCTATTTGAATAAATGGCAGATCACAGGTGAGATCTGGTATTCCCTGCTGGAGAATGAAGTCATTTTGGGAATAGCATCTTTTTTACTTTTTGAAAGGCCTCTGCAAATTTAAGTCAAGAAGAAAGATCTTTCTGGGAAAGAATTCCACTCTAAAAGGAATAAACAGGCACGCAGTTTATCCAGGACAAAGAAAGGCTTGCTAGCTTTCCTGTAATATCGGATGGTAGCAGGTAAGAACTTCTTTTTTTTAAAAAAAAGTAACCAGCCAGGGCCGAGCATCAGCGGTACCGTAAACTACCCAGTAAGAATCTGTCAAATGTCAAGAGTTTTCAAAAGACTTTTCTGTTCACTGCTCCGTTACTTTACAGCTTCCGCCAAGGGCTGGATCCCGTGCGTGGGCTCAACGTGCCCTGGTGGCCCCGACCCGCTACCACGGAGCTAACGAATGGGCTCGTCCCCTATCACAGAGCCCTCACCTCTCCCGGGAGAAAGCGCGGGGGGGCCGGCTGCCGGCCGTCTTTCTCGGTAGGGCCGCTCCCGGGACGTGGCCCCCACGGCGCTTTTGGGAAGCTCCCGCGAATGCCAGTCCACCGCCCTCCTCTTGGCCCTCTCCAGCACTTCTTGACCCAGCCTAGCCGTGCGCTGCAGGGCACGTCGGTCCACCCCGTTCAGCGCCGCGGCTGCCAAACAGTTCTCCATGTCACCCTGCGCGGGCACATACACACAAACACCGGCGGGTCAGCGGGCCGCCGCGACCCTGCTCCAGCTGTGGGTCGGAGCCCTAGCCTCGATCTCCCCGGTTCCCACAGCCCCCGGCTCTGCCCCTAACGCTCTCTCCACCCGACACCCGGCCGGGGGCGAACGGGTGCGCACAGATCCCCTCCATTTCCGTCTCGCCCTCCCCTCGGTGGGGACCCCTCACCCGCCCGCTTCTCTAGGCGCATGCGCTCAGCACTGTGTCGGAGAGAGGGAGGGCTGGGCCTAGAGCACCCGGCGCCGGCGCAGCAGGCCATCGGCGGGGGGCGGGGCCTATGGCCAGCGCCGGCTACGCCTTCTTTCAGCGACCCTGCCGCGGCCCCTGCGTGCCGGTTGCCTGGCTAACTGCCGGGCGCAGGGGCGGAGGTGGAGGCCGGAGTCTATCCTGCGGCGGGGGCCACCTGTCTGCTCCATCCCAAGAGCCCGTGGGCTGTGGCCTTACCCTTCGAGGTGGTCTCCAACGCCAAACATAGTGGACCCGGTGCAAAGTCAGGTGGTCTCCTTAAAGCCTAAGAAATTGTGGGGAATTAGACACCTGCCTCCAGGCGACTCTTTCCGTCTGGTCTGTTATCTTGGGATATCGCTATTGTAAAAAACGCTTTTGTTTGAGGAGATGAGTAGGAGAGGCCAAACAGTGCAGCTGCCCAGGTGGCGCTTGGAGAAGAGTTTGGGCAGCTGGCAGTGGGCAGTGGGACGCCCTCCGCCGGATGGCAGCTGTTCAGGGCCAAGAGGGGCGCCCGAGTTGTATGTAGAGCCCCGTAATCCCCTCACGGCAGCTTCCGCACTCCTCGAGTGGGAAATATGGACTCACATTTTTGGAAGCCTCTTCTTTGGGGGGTGGGATGGGCAGAGGGTTTGAACCCACCTTTCAAGAATAGTTGCGCCATATTTAAATAAACTGAGCCTCGTTACCTTGCACTCCACTTCACTCCTCCACACTTCTTTGTTATTTGATAGACGGTAGAGCCCAAGGGACTCTGCTACACCACACTGCGCTCAGCAAAGTATTGATCTTTGGGAGGAACTCCTTTAAGGAACACTGCTCAGTGGGAGTCACTTGAAGGGACACAAGGAAATCTTCAGTGCCGAGCGAGTCTCCTCAGCAGATGGCTTGATCAGCAGTTCTGGGCTACCAGGATACTACGGCAGTCTCCGTCTGCACTGTCGCTCATTTCCTGCTCTCCTCTCACCTAAAGAAATTGAGTAAAAGTCTTCATTATCATTGGGATATTTTTCATTGTAGTATAGAAGTATTCTACATAATACTGTTTATCAAAAGCCTCCTTCAGAACATAGTGGTTAGGCAAGCAGGGTCCCGAATATCCAGTCTGGAGAGCTGAGTTTGAATTCAGACTCCGCCACCTTTTTGCTCTGTGATTCTGGGTGTACGAGTTACTTAACTTCTTCAAATCTCACTTTTCCTCTTGTCGCTACTCAGGGATACCAAGAGTACCAATCTGGACTGTGAGCTTCTTAAGAGTGGGGGGTGAGCATATCAGTTTTGTTTACTGAGTTTAAGACGCATCTATTATTTCATCTGTCAAAGAAGGGGCTAAAAATAGCTGTTGAATGCAGTGAATTAGGAATTGGGTTGCTGTAAGGATTTTGTGAGAGAATTCCTTGAAAATGCTTAGCACAATGCCTTGCAAAGAGAAAGTACTCCACAGATTTAGCTAGCATTATAATGTTCCAAGCACTGTCGTTGGATTTGTGGAGAATAAAAAGTGAATCAGGCTAAAGCAGAATAAAAAAGAGAAAATGATGCACATAAAATCTGTAATGCTAGGAACTAAATAGTAAGATTTTGTTCATAAGCTGTGCTGTAAGATTGATACAAAGTGTTATGAAGCTTAGAGGAGAAAGAGATATTGTTCATTTGGGGGTTCAAGAAAGGCTTTCTAGAGAAGGAGGCATTTGAGCAAAGTCTTGAAGTATGGCCAGGAATTAATAAGAGAAGAGATATTTAAAGTACCTGTTAACTGCTTTTATAATTTAACTGCTTTTATAACGGTTGAGGTTGAGACAGAGTTTTTCTTTTATTATTTGTGGGTTTCAAAATCCTGGCTCCATAACTTAGCCACGTCTGTGTAACCCTGAACAGATTAACCGTTCTCTACCTCAGTTTTGTCATCTTTAAAATGGGAATAATAATAGTATATTCCTCGTTGGGAGGATCAAATAAATTAATACAAATAAAGTGCTTTGAATAGAACTTGACACATAGTAAATGCTCAATAAATATTAGCTGATATTATTATCCTTTTTTTAAAAAAAGATTTTATTTATTTATTTGACAGACAGAGATCACAAGTAGGCAGAGAGGCAGGCAGAGAGAGAGAGGACAAAGCAGGCTCCCCGAAGAGCAGAGAGCCCGATGTGGGGCTCGATCCCAGGACCCTGGGATCATAACCTGAGCCGAAGGCAGAGGCTTTTTTCTTTTTTTTCCACATTAACATTCTTAGTTTATTAATCCTCTCATGAAAAATCTGCACAATCACCACAGATAAAGCCACTGCAGCGTCTTTACTCCTTCTGTTGTCCAATCTCCAGCTCACTTTTTACCAGCACCAACATTGGCTTTTGCAGTCCCCTTGACTTTCTTCATTCTGTTCTTGCGTTCTTTTCGCTGTTTTCTTGCGTTCTTTTTCTTCTCATACAGACCATGTCTTGCAAGTCTATGTTTGGGTTCATTTTTCTTTGCATAATCCAAGGAATCATAAATCATGCCAAAGCCAGTTGTCTTGCCACCACCAAAATGGGTTCTGAATCCAAATACAAATATGACATCTGGTGTGGTCTTGTACATTTTGGCTAGTTTTTCCCGAATTTCTGTCTTAGGTACTGTTGCCTTTCCAGGATGAAGGACATCAATAACCATTTGTTTGCGCTGAAGTAGTCGGTTGGTCATGAACTTCTGGTCTGGATAGTTACTGTGTCATTTATGATGGCGGCCAAGCTTCAAGGAGCCAGAGAGGAAAAGAGCCAAAGGCAGAGGCTTTAACCCACTGAGACACCCAGGTGCCCCACTAATATTATTATCTTAATCAGACTTCAGCCTGTCTCCCACTATGTTCTCCCTTACCTGATACTTTGTCCATACCTCATGTCACTTGGCTCTCTTCCCCAGGAATCTATTATTACCTTCCATCCTGAATTCCATTCCAGTTGAAGCATTATTTTTGTCAAGTCAACTTTTTGAAATCTGCTATTCCAGGTGCAACCTGTTTCCATGGCTTTTTTTTTTTTTTTAATGTTCAGGTACTTATCTTAATCTGATTTAAATTATATGTAGTTATGTTTCATTTCCCCCCAACAGCTTATGAACTCCTTGAAGGTGGAAATTGTTCCTAATTTTCCCTAAATAACAAGGGCTTGTTAAGCAGTAGGTGTTCAATAAACATTTGTTGAATTTGCTGAGTTAATTTTTTATTTAAATAGATCCCTGTTAGAAGAAGAGTTGGCTTCTTCAAAAAAAAGTCTACCTACATACTTTAATGAATATAATGAACATTCAGTTATAACAACTTTCCCAGAATTTAACATTTAGAAATATATGGGAAAGAAGATGTTTGGAATGAAATAAAACCTAAAGACTGACATGAAATTAAATCTTTGCATTTATTTTTATATTTATATATTATAATTTCAAGGTTTGAACCATAAACCACAGAATGAGAGAATCGTTTTTCTCTTTTTTAAGATTCGATGGGAATGATGATGAAACATGACCTACCACCTGGCCCTTTGTGGATCAAACACAGCCCAAGCCAGGTACTTCTTTAAATGGTTTTGTTTTGTTTTTGGAAAGAGAGAAAGAGAGAGAGAGAGACAATAAGACTGGGGAGGGGCAGAAGGAGGAGGAGAGAGAATCTTAAGCAGGCTCTGCACTCAGCACCGAACCTGATATGGGACTCAGTCTCACGACCCTGAGATCATGACCTGAGCCAAAATCAAGAATCCAGTGGTTAACTGAGCTACCCAAGTGCCCCTAAGCCAGACACTTCTTAAAGCTACCAGTGAGACTTGGAAATGGAACAGCAAATAGAGGGAGGGCATATGATCAGAAATGTATCTGATAAAAAATGGAAAAAGGAACTATTGGTGTAAGTCTTCCATGATTTCTCTCTTCATGAGAGTAGATACATTACTAAGAACACACAGACATTATCTAGGTTGTAATTTGGGGAATAGATGGGTTGGAGGACATTTTTATTCCTGAAATCTGAGGAAAGAGATTGGTATTGTATTTGGGACTTCTTGAGGAGAAAAAAACAAGTTTAGTGACGAGCAAATGTAAATTATGTTTCTCTACATGAAGAGGCAAAAAAGGGTTAAAAGCCTATGATGTAAAAGTGGGTATCATGCCAGAGTTAGACAATGATTTATACTGTACATACCAGAGAATGTATAAATCATTTTATTTGACAGGTGGTATTTTTATTTCTTCAGCAGACTTAGGGAGCTTTAGAATCATTACAGCTTTGTAAAGTAGTATTATAGACTGAGTCATTAGATCATTCATTTTGCCTGATTACATCAACTCATTGGGTTTTTGGGGAATGAAAGAAACTCATTATCAAAATTGTCATCTTGATTATATAGATTAAAGAGAATGGATCAAAGTTCTGAGAATTAGCTTTCACAGCCTGTTAAAAAATTGGAAGTTAAAAAATTGATTGCAGAGCAGGAATGATTAGGGAAAAGTTTTGTCATTTTAAAAAACTATCAGAGATTAAAGGAATGGTAATTTTGGTAGATAGTTGGAATCCATGTGGAGTTTTTAAAAAATACTTTTTTGGAGTATAATTTATGTTACATTATATTCACCTGTTTTAAGGGTACAGCTCAATAAATTTTAATAAATTTATAGAATTTTGCAAACATCACCACAATCCAGTTTTAGAACATTTTTATTAACTGAAAAAGATTCCTGTGCCTACCATATGCAGTTAGTCTCAGCTCCTGCCTCTAGACCCAGGCAACCACTCTTTTCCTTGCTATTTTTATAAACTTTCCTTTTCTAAGGAGTTTGGATAAATGAATCATGCAATATGGGACCTTTTTTGTCTGTCATTCACTTAGCATAATATTGTCGAGGCTCATCCATGTTGTAGCAGGTATCAGTAATTCACTCTTGTGTATGACTGAATAAT